TTTTGGATTACTGTAATAAGTTGAGTTGAAAGCTGCAGCACATTTGGAATGATTCATAGGCTATGATGTCTTGGAGCGTATGGGACAGGGTCACATCCCAGGTATATGGAAGGGTTATGGGTCAGTGTCTCTTCATATATTTGATGTAAATGGGACACAATCTATCAGTGTGCTTAGTGATAAGAGCCTGTAGTGAATTATGCTGATTCATGAAGCTGAATTAATCAAGCTCTGTTTCAAGAGCTTGAAACAAAAGACTTCTTGCTAATTTGGACATGGCTAATCAAGGAGCAACAAGACCCAGTGGGCCAAATGCTGGAAATAAAATTTGCCAGTTCAAACTAGTACTTTTAGGAGAGTCTGCAGTTGGCAAATCAAGTTTGGTGCTTCGTTTTGTAAAAGGACAGTTTCATGAGTTTCAAGAAGGTACAGTTGGAGGTGAGAAAATTATCCTGTTAATTTGTTTATTAAGACACTGACCCATAACCCTTCCACGTACCTGGGATGTGACCCTGTCCCATACACTCCAAGATATCATAGCCTATGAATCATTCCAAAAGTGCTGCAGTTTTCAACTCAACTTATTACAGTAATCCAAAAGCAAGTCAATTATCTCATCTAATAATTCACTACATTCAACTGTAGTGGCAGTGAATGCAAGTTCACAGGGGCTTCCCTTAGCATTACATCAAACAAAGTCTTAAATTGTGTTTTGTTTGTTTGTGGAAGGAGTAAGGGCAAGCCAGTCAACAGAATTTCACTAAACATCTGTCATGACTGGAAAAACAACTCCAAGCATTTATGCTGGATTGCACAAACTTCCATCTAAATTCTTGGGATTGTTGCATTTTCTGCTGTGTATGTACCAGGCAAACAATGTGACTATAAAGCAGGTAATGAAGACTGCTTGTCAGACAACTGTAATAGTTGTGTGCTTATTTTTAAACTTCAAAAGCTAAGGTAGAACAGACAGCTGTGTTAAAACAGAGTTAAGAGAATCCAGTAGAAGGAAATCTTGCTTTTCAGTGGTTTTTGTTGGGGTTCATTTGGTCTCCCATTCCACTGCCTCCCAGTAAATTCTAGCTTAATTATTTTAACGTGGATTTCTATACTGGGTGGGTACTCACCTCCATATTTCTAATACGTACCTTAAAGTGAATGGAAAATCTTTACTAGGAGTAACTATTTGAAGACTTGCAATAAGTTACTTACTGTTTTCTGTAATCAGACCATTATTTATGGTAGTACATTCAACTGTAGTGGCAATGAATGCAAGTTTCCCTGAAACTGCAGGCTGTCAAAATTATGCTGAAATTAATTCTTGAAATCACTTGCAAAGTCAAATATAGCTGCTTTAACAACAAGAACTTTTGAGAAGTGAGTCTTTCTTCCATATCCGTTGGCTAAGGTGGAGTTGTCAGGAACTGAAAATCAAGGCTTTAAGATACTATTCAAGTATTGTAAATGGGTACAACTGCAAATAGCATGATGGGATGCTCCTGTTGGTACTCTATATAGTCTGTTGGAGCAGGATGAAATGTATCTAGAAGACTTAAGTGAAGGATTGTCATTACTTAGATTCACTGTTACAAAAAAAAAAAAGGGAGAATTCTTTCCAATTACTGCTTTCTGATGTCTTTAACATGAGGAAAGACTGGTTGTTTAAATAGCTGTTCTGTGTTGGTCAGAGTTACAGTTTATCACCTCATGCTTACTTCAGACCTGCTATATCTTAAAACTAGGTTTGAATTATTTAAGGAAATATTTGCATCTCTATGAGCATAATTTTATGTGACTGTAGGGATATAAGCAGACTTCTGGTTTCAGCACCTCTGTCTCTTTTGTAGCTGCTTTTCTAACCCAGACTGTATGTCTTGACGATACAACGGTAAAATTTGAAATCTGGGATACAGCTGGGCAAGAGCGGTACCACAGTTTAGCACCCATGTACTACAGAGGAGCGCAAGCAGCTATAGTGGTATACGACATTACAAATGAGGTAAGTACTATATTAGGGAGGCATAAGGGGGATTTGGAAGCTAGCAGTCTTGCATTGAACTTTCCTTAATTTTTCACACTGACTTGTGTGAATCGATTCATCATTTCATAGATTTTTTTTTTTTTAAGAATGGTTTGGGTTGGAAGGAACCTTTAAAGGTCATCTAGTCCAACCTTTCTGCCATGGGCAGGGACATCTTTCACTAGATCATGTTGCTCATTCCGTATTGGACTGTGTAATGTTAAATTGTCTGTAAATGTCTTGCCAAAAGACAATTTCTAGGGTTTTTTTAATTGTACAAAAAAATAAATAAAGCAAATTCCATTGTAAAAGTGTTTCAAACTCGCCTTTAAATCAGTTCACCAGAATTAAGCTGTTAGTCTCACCACGTTGCTGATGGTGGTTTATTTCTGATAATGAAATACCTTATTTTAATGTTGTATTATTGTAAGTTATGGGTAAGGATTGGAAAGGTGGCACAAGGTATTGAGACCAAGACCTAAAGTTATTTGATTTCTTTTTATTTGAGCTTAGATTGGATAAGCTTCACTTGTTTTTTGTAAAATTAGACTTAAAACCCAAAACCCTCAAAAAAAACCCCAAACCAGAAACCCTGTACCATAATGAACACTAAGTAATTAGAAAGTGTTTTGAGACTATTTCACCATAGCTGTTCATAAACTTGATTCTTTTAGAGAAGAAATGAAATTCCCCATTTTTCTTCTTAACCACCTCTTTCTTTATTCTGTCTACATAAAGATCTTCATATCTTTACTTTTTCAGCATTATCCAACTAAGCACATTTGAGAACTAAGGTAGAAATGTTTCATTTAAAAGCTCGATTGACAGGTTTGAGTGTGCCTTTTGACAAAGGTAGCAGACTTGCATTGGCTTTTTGCTTGAAGTATAGATAAGAGATCGGGATAATAGGTGAGTACAAAAGGATGATAAAACTCAGTTGCATCATTTTGCAATCATTAACAGGAATCCTTTGCCAGAGCGAAAAATTGGGTCAAAGAACTTCAACGACAAGCAAGCCCTAACATTGTAATAGCTTTAGCAGGAAACAAAGCTGATCTAGCTAACAAAAGAGCTGTGGATTTCCAGGTATGTACATAACTTCTGTTTATAGAAATAGCATTTTGTTGGAATAGAATGTAAATAAACTTACAAGGAGCTTATGTATGTAGCCTAGCTAGTTGTTATAGAGGTCATGCTGTTAAATATAAACATCAACTGGGCCTAATTAAATGATACATGCTACTGAAAAATCTATTTCTGTGCAAGTGGCATGTAGCAATAGACTTTTTTGAATAATTGACTTTGAGGAATAACAAAGTTATTTGCATATCTTTAAGACTAATTGAAGTTTTGGACTCTGTGATCTCTACCTGTCTTACACACAAAATGACCAGTAACTAGAGCTTCAACGGAGGAGACAGCAGTAACTCTCAGTGCATACCATTCTCTCTGACCTGTCAGCAGAAGAATTTTGATTATCTGATACAAAGCTGACTGATGTGTTCAACTTTCTTAGGCTGTACTGTTGAAGCAGTGTTCAAATTTTAATTGTGTTTTTCATGGCCTTCTTTTTGCTTTAGGGGTTTATCTGTGCTCTCACTGCTATATTTTTCTTCTAGAAGGTTTAACCAAGTCATCAGAAAGTAGCTTCCAAAGCAAATAAAACTCACTACAGGTGGTTATGGCCCATTCATGATTGATTGATTGAATTTGAATTAAGATCATATTTATTAGTCATTAATTCTCTTAGGTTTTAATCTGTGTCTGGTGTCACTGTGAGATACTGCTGTGTATAGTAATGAATCCTTTTGTAACTTACAGGAGTTGGACTATGAAGGTTAGCATATGTGTTTTTCTGTCAGAGTTCAACAAATTGATGTTATAATTTTACACTTCCATGTCAATAAAGCCACGTGACAAAAGACCTTTGTTTTGTGAAAAATTGTGGTACTTAGCAAAAATTGCATACATGTGTGCAGTCAAAAAACTTAATCAAATTTAATTACCAAAGTAGAACTACCTTTACTGCTTGTACAGTTACAACCTTAATAGTTTCCAAATGTTCTTTTTTTATTATTAATGTGAATTTATTTGGCTCCTTGCAGGCTTGACAGTAGTTTCTCATTGCAAAGCGCTTTTTAAATTTCTAGGTATTTGTTGGTGTTATTTCATGTATAGTTACGAAGGTCTTAAAAGATGTCACTTAGATAAGTAAAGAATGCTGCAGATGTTTTTTCATCATAGGTATTTTATAGTTTGGCTTATTGCAGATTTGCTATTGAATGCAAAAGCAGTTAGATAAACTAGGGATTCTCAGCTGAATTGGCTAACAGGAGGTGGCAAAAATAGCAGACTTCATAAACAGTGTATTTGAGATGAAAATTCAGACTGAAAAGGGACATAACATGGCAAGATATTTAATACCACTTGTTTTGCAATTGTCAATTTCTGTCAGGATAATGAAACTGTTTTGACCCATCTGCCTCAATGTATGTCTGTTTGGCGTTTTTAATGAAGTAGTGCATTATTCTAACTTTCAGGAAGCACAGGCTTATGCAGATGACAACAGCCTATTGTTCATGGAGACGTCTGCTAAAACATCTATGAACGTAAATGAAATATTCATGGCAATTGGTGAGTTTATGAACAAACTGAAAATTTAAGGGAATTGTTTTCATGAGATTCATACCATCACAACCTTCCCAACCCAAGGTTTCTGTTTTTCACTTAAATTATTTGTGGCGCTGAAGTTTTCTTAGGCCCTTTCGTACCACTTCTAATGTTCAGAAGTCAGATAAACTCATTTGAAGCACAGTTGCACAGGTCTTCTGTCAAGCACTGAAACACTTGGGTTAACTTGGAATAGCTAAACTAGGTTACTTTTGAATTACGTCAGCTAGTTCTGTATACCTGTTTTGGTTCCATGGTGAAAACTTGTACGGCTTCAAGTTCAAGCAAAATAAAGGTTTAGTTCTTGTATACAAAAAGCCACCCACATTTTCCATGCAATAGGTAACCATAAAAACTTTTACACAGCTTTTTAGTTGTAAGATGTACTCGGCATTTGTTAATCACATTAGTGTAAGAATGTAAACAAAAGTGTGTAAGTGTGTGTCTTTTGATGGTATGTTCTTTGCAGCAGATTCCACACTGCCTTGGATAGGTGCAGAACCTGGAATAACGTGCCTTTTATGAGACAGTGGTAGTTGAAGCTGTGAACACTTCAAAATGGGAGAATGATAATGGACTTGCTTAAAAAAGTCAAGTATCCATTTTAGTCTGAACAGAATATTTGCTAAATAGACTTGTGTTAAAATTGTGTTTAAATTCCAAATGCAACCAGCTGAAATCCAAATGTTGTGCCAAGGATGACAATGTGTGCTTAAACTTAATGCCCAAGTATAGTAAGGGACAATTCATGTGAAAAGTAAATTTAAACACAAAATTGTGTTTCATTGTTAATAAAATTTTAAAAGTGAGGGGAAAAAGAAAGCATGTATTTTTGTGTTGATCAACCTATTTAGTAATAACCTTAATCACAGTAGTGACTCTGCTACTGAGGAACAGTAATGTACAGTGTCAAATAACCTTGGTAAATCTGTTTTGTATTTTGCACTACAGTGACCCTCTATCTCACTTATTTTTGTGAAGAATGGTATTGCTATCAAAATTAAATGTTTCTGAAGAGCTCTTATCTTCTGTTCTCCAAGTCAGTAAAGCAGAGGGTAATTTGTGGTGTGGTTCAAACTTCCAACAGATGCAAATTAAATTATCACTATAGCAACACTTTTTATAACAAGTACTTGCTTCATATTAATTATAAATACTCAAGTTGGGGGAGGGAGCTATAGAACTGTATGGATGGAAGGTATATTTTTCACATAAATGCATAGTCCTGTGTTTAGTGATACAAAGATGCTCAATAATGCTGTTCTGGTGAAACTTTAAAATTAATTTGTTTAAAGGTGCAGTTTGCATCTTGTTTAAAAAAAAAAATTAATCCCCAAAACGTGAGGGGTTTTTTACTTGTTACATAAACAATAGTTCTTATATCTCTGTATTTTAACGAAGTATACAAAGTAAATTCAAGAAAATGATGCCCAATTAGTACCTGGATATTTTGTCTGCAAGGTTGGTTGTCCGTGTGAGTACTTTTTTCACATTGATTGTTGAAATTGAGCTTCAGTACATCAGAACAAGATCTCTGCAGCAGTGGACCCTGAAAGGAAATCCTGATAAGGATATAAGTAGTGCATGGAACTTGTAGCGGCCTTTTACACAACATGGTTGCAGTTCTCAAGGCTGTGTGTAAATATGACCCTCAAAAATGGGAGAAAATGAAAAATAAGAATATGAACAGAATTGGGGGATACAAGCTACAGCTGCTTGTAAATTAACTGCTTTAGAGCCCATTCACAACTTCCAGTTAAAAAAAAAATCGTATTAATTTGCAGTTCTACAATCCAAGACACCAGTGCTCTGAAGGGATTTTTCTACTGGTGCTTTGTCCCTTAGTACTGTCTCAGCAGCTTAGCACCACAAGAAATCTTGGGTTCTCTCACAGAATCATAGAACAGCCCAAGTCTGAAGGGACCTCAAAAGATCATCTGGTCCAACCTTTTCTGGAAGAAGAGAGCCTATGTGAGATTACCCAGCACCCTGAGATAGTCTTTTACCACAACACATCTTCTTGATGTGTACTCTGCTGTTTTACTTGCATTTCATTCCCTTTAGGAAAAGTTATTCTTTAAAAGCTGGCCAAAACTTTTGGGGTTGTAAAACAGGGGTAGTCATTGGGTCCTGATAACATGGGCAAGACAGCCCCGCGGAAGTCCTTTTATGTAGCACTTGGCTTTCTCCATATCAGAAAATTACTAGAAGAAGCCACTGCTCAGAAGGGTAACACTTGGCACTCTTATTTTTCATGTCAGGACAGAGGAGGTACCCTGGAGCTACAAGGTCAACAAAGAAATTATCAGTCAATTGACTTATTTGAGCTGGAGAGGAGAGACAGCTTGAAAAACGAAGAGACTTGATCTAGTGCTGAGGGCCATTTTATATGTTGTATGCAAATACTTATTCTAGCTAGATAGCCGAGCAGTAGGTTGACCCATTTCTGTCTGTGTTTTGTGATTTTTCATTCTTCCTGTATCTTTTAGCACTGACATCATGATCTTAAAGCCTGTTCTGTATAGGTGGATTCCCACAGGAGTCATCATTTACTGGCATAGCATACCTGTGCAGATACATTTTACTACTCAAATTACTAATGCATTTCACTCTTGGAAATCATAGATAAGGTAGTAAATCATTAATAAGTTAAGTGTCTTAACTTCTTTTATTACCAACCCACTGAATCAAACCAGATGTTACAGTGATAATATTGATATGCTTATAGGGTGGTGAAGTGTTGACTGTTTGTGTACTCAGGTGATTTAATCTTAGTATAATCTCAGTTTTAACTTTTATTTCTTGTTGATTTTGTAGCAAAAAAATTGCCCAAGAATGAACCACAGAATGCAGGAGCCAACTCTGCTAGAGGAAGAGGAGTAGACCTTACTGAACCCACGCAACCACCCAAGAGTCAATGTTGTAGTAACTAAAACATCAATTGCTTTAAACTGTTCTGAATATTCTTCTGCTTCCTAACTGTTAATAACATGGAATTGGAGTGCTTAACCTGGCCCAGTACAGCTTCCAAACAGCGAAGAGACTTATGATAATAGTCAAGTTCATGATACAGAGTTTTCTTTTGACCTAAAATTTTAACATGCATGTATCCAGCACTGGCTGTAATGTTTCAGCAGTAGAGGAGAGATGGAAGCGGAATAAACTTCCTTCAGTTGAAAGGTTTTAAAAATCGCTTACCATTAGGGGTGTAGAAGAACTACTTTCTGTGGACCTAATTGGCCAGTTCCTGTAGCCTCAATACTGATCACTGTTACCATAAATATATCTGGGACTTTTCATAATTCTCAATTGTGCATTAAAACCTTTTCAGAAACAGGGTCTAAAAATGACACAAACTTAATCACAGTATTGATGCAACCGGTTGTTTCTGCAGGTATCTACTGTTTAGTTATACATTCCATAGTTTAATAATTTAATTACAAATAATAATTGCATTAACAATTTTAAGAACCCTATGCTTGCAGGAAAGTGGAGTTTTAGTTGGTACACTGTATGTAAATTATATCAACCTGGTTAGTTATCTAAAGGAATTAGTGATAAATCAAGTTTAACTTCATTTCTAATCTGTTCAGAGGGTACAGACCAGTAAATTCGACTTTATGACTTAGGGTTTTTTTTTCCTCTACAAACTATAAGAGCTCTTCAAGTAAAACCACAACAAACTTGGTGTCTGTGACTTCTTTCTTGGTTTTGATCATTGCTGGCCATTACAGTTTGTTTTCCCCCTAAGGAAAAAAAATAGTGCACTAACAATTATGTACATCCAACTTGATTTTAAATTTGGATATTAATGTACTGTAAATAGGTACTCTGCATTGTAGTCTACATTTGTTTAATACTTTCTGTAATATTTAAGAGTTGCTTAAAGGTATACAGAATGTACAGTTACTTAAAGCTAACTTTTTCCTCTCTAATCAAAGGGGGTTCTAAGTTCTTCCTTCATGGCTAGAACAGTAATAAATGATGCTCCTGTATCTGTAACATAAGTACTGCTGTCTGTCAGTAATGAACTTTGCAACTTTGTTTTCCAAAGTACATTTTATTTTGATCTGTCCAGTATATTGCACTAATTCTTTTAGTTATTTTCATTATATGAAATCTACCAAGTGTGTCAGAAGAGATGAATTAGTCTATTTAAATGTTGAACTGATAGCGGAAACTTACTTGTGCAGATTTTAAATTTGCAGTAATCTGGGTTTAGCAAGGAAAATGGCAGTTCACCAGTGTTTAGTTTTATATTGAGGTGCTCAGGTTTGAATAAAGTGGTTTAAAAGGAAAAAAAGATATTTTTGATTACTGTTTCTTACTGAGGGTTTCAGAAGGTTTTATTGCATTTGCACAGTTCCAGACAAGATGTCTCATTTACCGTATGGGTCAGCAGTTAAGATGATTACCATTCAATTCATGGCACAGCTAAATATAAGCTTGTACTATCTGTACTGTGGCACTCCAGTTATCCTCTGATAAATTTTTAAATGTTGACGTAATTGGGTATCTTATCGCATCCATTTAGAAGTACAAACAAAACAGCAATGTTATCTCTTGAACCTGCAGCTAACGCAGTCTTTACCAGTTGTTCACTAATGTAGGTTGCTGTGTTGTCGCAGAGCGTCTCAGAGGTGACGCTGCCTCTTCCTGCAGTTTGTGATTCGCAATTGGATGGGTACATTTTTCTGTCCTCTTCAAACTGTGGTGGTGGTGTAGAACCCACTGGTGATGCAGTCAGTTTGTCACAAAATACCTTGGAATCCATTTTTTCTGCTAGTTGTGGACCTGAGTTATAATTGGGTGGGCATGCTTTTATATCTTTTGGGAGCTGTTTCACGGCTTCAGACCCTGTTGCCAGTACATTCTCTTGCAGCTGTTCACAGGTGCAACTTGAACCAGTCGCACAGACAGTGTTGGTATCTGTTTCTTCTTGCGCTGCAGTCTGTGGCTGTGGCTGAGAACTGCAACACAGATAAACCTGGAACTGTTTCAGTTCTTCAGAGCTACTTTGTGTGGTAGAATTGGACTGCTTTATCTCTCTGTGCGAATCTGCTTCGTTCTTACTGAAAAGAGGCAGTTCTGGATCAGATTGATTTTTGTGGTCGTAGGTTTCCTTAGGAATTCCATCTTCGCTTTGCAAATAGCTTCTGCTAGAACATTTTGCCTTATTTTGTTTCAGGTCGCCTTTTGAGATGGTGACAAAAATGTCTTTATTAGAATACAGTATCTCTATTCCATCTTGCAGATCATTAATTGCCTTTGAGTCATCTAAGTTGCCTTCAGTAAGGTTTTGTTGAACACATTCATACATTCTCAAATAATGAGTGAATGTTGTTAGAGCTAATGCGAGTACTGCATTGTAATTCAAAACTTCCCAAAGCCCATTAGAAGCTAAAATAAGAAACTGACAAGTATCATCGATAGGGACAGATATGGTATGAGGTACAAGTATAACACATCTTTTTAGTACTGGATCTCCATTATGTCCAAGGCCCCGTGTAGTTCTCAGGTACCCTTCTACCAATCTATCCGGTTCATTTGTGCTGATGTTTCCACCGTTCTGAAGTATGCATTCTCTCTCGCTTATGTTAGAAGTGCTGTGCTTTTTTGAGAGGCAGTGACCCTTTCCATTTTTACATAAGACTGCATGCACATTGCCTAAAGTTGAAATAAGGTATTTTGAATTAGAGCATACTGGGTTTTTTAAGATACAGCTGTTGCATTGACTTTTGCTAAGGACTGGAAAAAAAAACTGAGGTCATAGTTCAATTACCTGCTGCTACAGGCAACAGTATGTCCATCAGTGAATCTGGGTCTATTTTACAGCAAAGTTTTTAGTGTTTGGGTTTTTTTTCTTCCCTTTATTCTGAAGGCCATTCCAAAACCTTATTCTTTTGACTGCAACTAAACTCTTCTGTGGAGTCTTAATTGACATTTCTTTCAACTTTAACTGCAGTCTCATAGAAATGTTGTCCCATGAGTGTTTTGGTTGTTTGGGGGGTTTTTTTTAAGCAAGAGTGCATATTTTTCTTGAATACCTCCTTTTTTTCTTCCCTACCCCTGTCTCTCCCCAGGAGAGTGTGCGCTTTCAAAATACTATGGCTGAATGAACTCATCAAGAAGTTTCAGATTCAGGCTATTTTTAGCAGTATAAAATTTCTAGTACCTGAAAATAATTTGGACATTGTGCAAAATTTACAGTTTACTAACATGATGCCTTAAATCTCTTCCTCGATGAAGGGACCCAAGAGAGCAAGAGAAGTTGAGGACTAACTTACTTCCTTTAGTAGGAATAGGTACTTCACTTTTTCCCTCAATATTTTTTGGAATCTGCAGGGTGAGAATGAAAAGTGTTAGAGATTGCAACACTACAAGTAACTAAGTCTTGTCAGAATTGAATGAAAAGCATAAAGGAAAGCATCTCTGAAACAAAGTTATGTATTTTTTGAGATCCTCTATGGCTACACTGGGAGACTGTTTTTTCTGTTAAGGGAGGTCATTGGTCTGCTCCCATGTGTTGGCATAAGGGAAAAAGTGATGTCTTACAGATGGAACTTGAGTGGGATGGTAGCTTTCCAGATACTAAGCTGGCTGCAGTATGTTCATTTATACTGTATATTTAGTGTCATCTGGCTAGACTAGGGCACAGATCTCTGAAAGTGTTAAAGTAGGCACTGCTTCTACAGTAGTTGTATTTCTTGGAAAGTGTTGGCATTGTCTAGTGTAGGTGGCAGCTGTGTTGTCTCTGTGAAGGCAGATTCCTCTAGAAGGCGATTAAGAATACCAAGCTGAAGAATATACCTTTTTTACTGATTATAGAATGTAGATGCCTTAAGTTATGCTGTGTGAATGTTTCCTTGTGCTTGCTCCCTCCTCCTCCCTCTAATTTCCGTGGAGAGCTAGAATATTGTCTAAAATTTCCTTTGAACCCTCTGAGTAAGACCACCAGCTGTAAGCCTAACAAAGGGCACAATATAACCCATGTGGAACAATTTGACTGCAAGAAAGAGTAAAATGTAGTTGCTTTTGGCTGCCAATTTCTTGTCTGCAAACCAGAGACAGGGCAGAAGAATTGACAAAAACTAGCTGACTTACCAATGTGGGACTAAATGAAGACGACAGAGCGGGCCAATGCCGCCATCTCCTGATCCTCATATCTGACTGTCCTCTTCAGTTGCTTACCTGGTGCTGAAGGAACATGTCTGTACTTCTAGGGGGAAAATGGAGCTTGATGTTGTGCAAATCTTTCTTTGATATGTTACATTTGGTACAGAATTAAGTGTATTCGATTAAATAAATGTGTATTTAGAAGTGGTTAAAAAATGTGGACTTTAATCATAAGAGGCTTAAAGTATCAGATCAACTTCAAGCCTTAACTCATTAGCAGAGCTGGAGTTCACAGTATCTTTAAATGCAGCCAGCATAAAACCTTACCTGGGAGGGAAGGATGGAGGCAGGTAACTGCAACCAGAAAACTTAGCAGTAAAGTTCTGGTAGCTGCACAAATGCTTGTTGGAGGTAGAGAACATATAGCTATAGCAACAAGCAGTGGGAGAACGGAGGAGAGAAAAGGGAGAGGATAGACCACAGTTACTGTGTTCAAGTTGGTTTATAGTGTTCCTCAGACTGGCAGAGGATTGCATGTTACTGTTAAGCAAAATTATTTTTCATCTGGGATCAGTTTTTCCAAATGTGGGATATGTTTCTGGTTTGGAGGGGTTTTTTTGTCTCCTGCAGAAATGAAGCCTCTTGACTGTTTTT